CTGGCTGATAGAGTGCGCTTATTAGAGAGTCGGTAGACTCTCTATATAGGGATGACACGGGTGAAATCTCACGTGATCCGCGTACAAAACGACTAAAAACTCGGTGAGAATCACTCCCTAGGCCTTCAAAACATACTAGCAATAGTCTACGGGCCCATATCTACCTATACATGTTCCCCAAGACCTCATACGCACCTTCAGTCGTCCACACGAGAATTCGCTCATACGCGATTTCACGATTTTCGTGTCATCATATTCTTCATCTTCTTCTTCTTCTTCTTCTTCTTCTTCTTCTTTAAACCCGCTATCTCCTTACCAGTAGCAGTTCAAGCACTGATTTTTTCACTGAAGGTCTCCAATTTCGCCGGAGATGTGCACGGACATCAAGCGATCGTTTCTTTCTTGCCGCTAGTCACTACGGTAGATCATGGAGCTCTTCCATGGTCGACACTGAACAACGCCATTTGCTGCTAACTCAGCATCAGTGAGCCGCGCGCATGCGCCAGGCAGGGGCGTTGACTAATGCGCTTGCGAGCGTATTACCACTTACCAGGCGAGTTGGCAGACCTGCAGAGGAACTGTCAGCCTCCAGTACCTTCTGTAAGTAAGTGTGCACATTTCCAACTGGCTAGCTTGCTGTTGATTTGCACGAGGAGCAACTTGGCAGAGTCTGAGCGGTGTTTACGCGAGCCTTGCGGGACGCTCAGTCAAATCGGCCTTCATTGTTTGTCCCCCCAGGTTGTAGCCTGATTACCAAAGCCTGCCCATGAAACCACAGCAATGTGCAATAATCTCATTACATCCTTTTTGAAGACAATACATGAGGTGAATACGGTATCTAGCCCCTGCTTCAGGCACTAGCAGCCCCATTAGCTAAACAGTTACTATTTTGTCTATGGTAGACTATCTACAACATGCCCATGAACATCAGAGTGACTGTAATAATGAAAAGCACTGAAGTGCAAACCCTCGGCGAACTGCGCATGTGCGGTACCACTAATTGATGGGCTGGGCTTTTTATGCCTTTACTCGTGGTATCCCGCTAGTAGCTCGCGGAGAGTCTGACACGGGCTAGCTACAGTAGTAAATAGCATGCGGGAGTCGATACATGCCCTTCGTTGTGACTTGTTGTGCCTTCAAGACACACAGAGCGAGACGGACGCGGTCGGGGTAAGCCTGTGCTAATTTACATATAGGCTTGTTCACTTGGTTTTCACGCCATAACTTTAAAACACAGTAGTTTTACGAAAATCGCCTTTTTTAAAATCAACCCAGTGTAGCACTGAACCCGATCATATCGTTATTTACCTGATTTAGTGCGCGCGGTGGCAGAAAACGTGGTAACAGACAGACAGACTGACAGACTGACTGACACACTTACGGGACAACTACCGTAACCCTCGCTGCGCATGCGCGCCGAGGGTTAATAAATGCAGTGTTGTCATAAGCAGTTAAAAATAGTGGAAACAAGTGTAAAAATCATTTCTTCAAAATGAAAGGGGGATATAGGGATGGCTTGAAGCACCAAAAAGGAAGAAACAAGGGGTCATTACACAGCAAAGTTGCACAAAGCTACATGACACCATCCCTATATCTTTGTTTTATTGTTTATAAGCAAAGTTTAACATCGAACAAAGATATAGGGATGGTGTCATGTAGCTTTGTGCAACTTTGCTGTGTAATGACCCCTTGTTTCTTCCTTTTTGGTGCTTCAAGCCATCCCTATATCCCCCTTTCATTTTGAAGAAAAGTGGGACCCAGAGTCGGCCCTACACCAAGAGAGGAGTTTCGACAGGAAGCCAGGCTGGATGGTCACGCAATTAGCTACGTACTTGCGAAGTGCATATATACTTTCGTGAGGGGTGCAGTGGTGAACGTTTTTTTACGGCGCACGTTTGACCCTGTCGAACCTCCTCTGTCCCACACCCATTCGGGCGCCTCCGTGCATGCGCACTGTTTGTTACTGCATACGGTTTGCAGCGTATAAACCCAGAGACGGATTCTATACTCCATAGCTACTGAGTTTGCATCATTTAAAACCTAGGGGACCAACTAAGGCAGAGTAAGAGAATATGCGACTTGCAATTCTTGCACTCACTCTGGCTATGCTACTTGCGGCCTCATCAGCCCACGTACCTGCGGAAAGGCCCTACTATCCTGCGCCCAAACCGATTCGTATTCAGGCTGAACAACCCACCTATCCTGTGGCCGAGAATGAGCAGCAGAGTAAGTAGTATTAGGTGAAACTATAACAACAACAGCATCATTTTAGGTATAATTATACTATACACTTGTTTAGTTGATGTCAAAAACTACACTTACGGTAGCTATTCCTATTTTTCAGCCCCAGACTCTTCTGCTATTCAAATGGGTCAGATAAAGTGTAGTTACTCTAACTCCTAGGGTGAGAAAAGATGGTGTGAGACATGTTAGCAGAATAAGCAGTCCAAAACCCTTTTGCGCCTTAAGTTTTTCATTTTCATGAACAAAGAAGAAAGCGGAGTAGCTACCTAGATGTTTCCTTGCAGCTGGGAAATGGCAGCAGAGGTCTGAAACGAAATTTATGCCTCAAAACATTAGCTGCAAAAGCAAACGATGTAATTAGCTCAACAAACAAAGTATGCGGAGTAATAAGACAAACAAATATTTAACACTTACCTAAACACTCACCCTGCTCGCCTTTGACCTTGTCCTACAAAACCTGCAATAGCTAACCCTACCATGTGTGCTTGTTCTGTTCTGTCTTCTCCTCACCCCAGCCTGTACCCCACTCTATGAACAATGCTGGTCACCCTCCGAATGCTGCAGTAATATTTGTGAAGTGGTAGTTTTTTTCAACTATTGTATCGATGAACATTTCTGGGACTATATATACGACTACTGAGTGGTGCTCAAGAAGAACGACTTATTGCTGTGATCTATGCTTTATAAAGTTTAGATACTGATGGTGTGCACACACACTTATTAAATTCATTATAATTGTTGATGAGTGTTGCCAGGAAGCGTTGCATGAAGCGTTAACTATTGTGATGCTGCAGACTGCTGCAGTGGTGTCAGCAGCAAAAAGGATCAACAGCTTACTGACAATGCACAACTCTCTCACTGACTGTCTGTTGAAAGAGTGAACCAACCTGGTGTACAGAGTACATAATTCTATATAAAAAAGGATAGAAAACCTTATTCTTATTCATGTTATCATTATTGTATACCTATGTGACCTTAGTATCGTACCTTTTAGTTACGGGAACCTATAGAGAGGTATCAATAGCTATAATAATAATATACTTGCCATATCAATCCAAACAGAGATATCTTATAGCATAAAGGCTACGTACTGGACAGTACAGCTGCCGCACACTCACATCCACAACTCTAGCTTCAGTGAACTTTAGACTTTAGTTTGGAGGCTTTTACATTTGGCACAGCCTTCGCAAACTCACTCATTGCCAATTGGTGGCAGATAATGACCATAATCACTAATTGTTCTTGCAAAAGCAAGACTCCTTCAGTAGCTACCTTCAAAAATTTCCTTCAATGCTGTTGGGCTCTCCTTTCCCTATATATACCTTTTGAGGTTACGTCTATGATCAGTTGCCAAGAAGCCCTTTAGTAGCTACTTCTTGAAGCAAATTACTCAAAGTGACTGCTATTCGGCACAATACTGCAGATATTCTTGTGTGTAATCCAACAGACATTTGGCACAATCATGAGAACCTGACTCAGATCCCCCGACCGTTAATTGGAGTTCCAAAAAGACTTTTGTGCCTTCTGCTCATTCTGACTTCTATGAAGAAAGAACCACTCACGAAAGCGCAAATAGGCGGGGTCGCGTAAGACGCGTTTTACGCGAAAAGCAGTTTTCGGCTTGTTTCTTCTAACACACGCGCCGGATGAAGCTATAAAATTTCTCCTTGTTCTTTTGCCTTATATTAGAGCTGGGTAATTTAAATTGCGCAATCTGATTGGTCCGTGCGCGGACTCTAATTCGAGTAAAGCGAATTTTCCGGACTCTAAATAAACTTTCTCCGGACTCTAAATTTGGCGCATGCGCAATGGCTTACTTACGTTGGGCGGAGTCCCCCAACGGTCTGCGAAGGTACGTAGAGGCGAGCCCGTTGTCGACGTCCTCCCTGGACCTCTCGCTCGACTTCCCTGCGAGAAAGCAGCGCTCGTTCGCGGTTTCAGATGCACCGAATTTGAATTGCGCGCACGCGTTGCCATAGCTCTAAACAAGTTAGACGCCTCGTCCATGGAAACTACGCGCATTAGAGCGCCTTGGGGGCCCTTAGTAGCGTCCTCGCTGCGCTCGAACGCCAACAGCCCAGGGCCCCCGCGGCTCTCTAATGCGCGTAGTTTAATGCGCGTAGTATCTAACTTATATTTAGATGCCTGCAGCACGATTTCCGTTTTTGTGAGATCTAACTTTTTATTAGTAATTACAAAAAATAATTATTGATAATTACAAAAAATTAAAATCTTACAACAACGGAAATCGTGGTGCAGGCAACTAATATAAGGCAAGAAGAACGAGGAGAAAATTTTGTAGCTTCATCCGGCGCGTGTGTTAGAAGAAACAAGCCGAAAACTGCTTTTCGCGTAAAACGCGGCTTACGCGACCCCGCCTATTTGCGCTTTTCGTGAGCAAAAATAGCGAAGACAAAAAAGGGCCATTTGTGGGTCGCTGCATAGCCAAAAGGTACAGCTATCAATCGAGCATACACTCGCTTAGATCATTCATACTGTTCCCGTTTTGGGAGACTGTCCTACCTTTGATGGCCTTGTCCGAACTTTGCTGTGCCCGAATCGTAACTTTACGACAAAGTCATTCCCACGGTAAAGCTCGGATAAGAGCGAATATTTTTATACAACAGTTTATGACCAAGAACTACACTTCGGTACACACAGTAGCCAATCTAGTCCTGCACAGACTTCACAAATGCGTCCGAGAATACATGGCGTCCGATTATCGGTGGCTTACTCTACAATGGTGGTTAATCTTCTTTATCATGATTGGTGTATCAGCATTCCCTATTACTAACAGACGCACGCATGCGCACGTTATTACATGTTGGGGGGCGCGCGACTGGGGCCCAATAATATATCGCGTGTTAGGGGGGCGGGGCTATCCACGTGCACGTGACACTGCCGCATAACTTTATCGGGCCCGCATTTACGTACACTTGCCTATTTTTATGCCCGCATAATCGCCGCAGGCCTACCAACAACACACAGCGTAGAGCTGGGGCTCCGGCGGCCGCGCGGTCCGCCATCTTCATCTTGAACTGTGGCTACTGAGAGACCAGCAAGATAAGACTATCGTGACCTACAGCACAAGAAATGGCCGCGGAAGGCCTTCTCGCCGAGTATCCTGAGCTGCGGCCGTTCGTCCTCCCCAACGTCCGACTCACTGGCATCAGAATCGGCGCCGGAGCCTATTGCAGCGTGGAGGAGGTGGCCGTGCCTGGAGCCATCTGCGCCGCCAAAAAAATCCACGACATCTTCCTGGACCGCTCCGAGATCCCCGCGGCCGAGATCCACAGAACCACTGCCCAGTTCGTGAGAGAATGTCAGCTTATGAGCACCTTCGTCCACCCGAATATCGTCAAGTTTCTGGGCGTCGCCTTCTTTCCCGGCTCGCGACTGCCAGGCCTCGTCATGGAGCGACTGCTGACGAGTCTTCACGACTTGCTAGACCCAGAAACGGACCCCCCTCCCTCGCCCAACACGCCCAAGCCGTTCTTCCCGCTGAGCCTAAAATGCTCGATCCTGCACAACGTGGCGTGCGGTCTAGCCTACCTCCACGAGCGAACGCCGCCCGTCATCCACCGCGACTTGTCGGCCAGAAAAGTTCTCCTGAACTCGGGGATGGTAGTCAAGAACCTCGCCCACATTTTAACGTGCGCGTGCGTTCATACGCGAGACGCCTAAAGGCTCATTGCCGTCACTCCAACTGTCTTTGCTGACTCCAGGCAGTAACGTAAGCTAGTCTCGCGTAGGCACTCAGAGAAAAGCGTGTACTACCTACCTACGTACGTGTCGGTCATCCTTAAGAATGTCAATTAGTCACGCTTAAAGAATTCGATTAGTCAAGCTTAAGAATGTCCATTTCCGCCGTGCGCGCAGACGTCTGGCTTCGCGCGCAGTCAGTAGAGCGCGCGCACGAGCGGCCTCAGTCGGACTGTTTACGCATTTGGCTGGCTGGCGCCATGCGCGTGTGCATTCCTAGTTATGCATTACTGGTACGACAGTGAGTCAGTTGGAGACGCCTCGGATGACGTCTTGAGAATTCATCAATGACTTTTTCTATGATTGGCTAGCTTATATCAACTACACGTGGCTTTGTTGCCACACCAAACGGCCGGCGTAGCGCGCGCGCAAGAACCTCGCCCACATTTTAACGTGTGCGTGCGTTCATACGCGAGACGCCTACTCATTGCCGTCACTCCAACTGTCTTTGCTGACTCGAGGCAGTAACGTAAGCTAGTCTCGCGTAGGCACTCAGAGAAAAGCGTGTACTTGGAAAAGGGGGGGGGCAATTGCCCCTGGCTACGCCCCTGATAAGTGCTTGCTCATAGAACTTTCGGTGGCAACTGCTTTGGTCAAACAACCAAACAATGATGTATTTATGCTTTCTGTACTTGAAATCGGCAATATTTGCTGCATTTTCAACATGGGCCATGAAACGGTTCCCTTCCAATAGCCATACTCGAGCAGCTGTCGAGCACTCTGACTGCTTTCGGGGTTGTGTTCCTTTGCCCTTTTTAAGTGGGCATCCATAAGTTTGAGGAACCCTCCGTGCTACTCCACGAAATCCGAAACAATTATGCCTCTTCACTTCGTTTATGGTAGAATTGATGGTCTGTCTTCCTCCTCTTGTCCACGTCTGATATTAGTGTTAAAGATTGATTCATCGTGGTAAATGATTACGAACTCTTCAGAATCTTCTAGCTGATTAGTGGTGCCTCGTTGCTGCATGGAGGTGGTGGGCAGTGTGAGTTTTCGAAGCTAGTGCAAAGGTTTGAGGGAAGTCTTTCGGTCACGAATCACATCCTCCTACTCATGTCCATCAATGTCGGCACACTTCTTGTGGCTTACCAGTTTGAAACCAAAGTGATGGAGCCAATGCACTGCGGTGCAGAATGAAATCCATCTCGGAAAGTGTGGTTGCAGGCGGCTTGGTGGGAGACGGGTGTTGTTGACCGCAGAATGATTTCACTGTCATATTTGGCTCTCCTTCACAAATGCGTGCTCGCGAACCCACTTTGCTGCTTTGTGGTTGAGCACTTTATCGTGTTGCACACAGTGTCGCTCGTACTTGCCCTGCTGCTGCACTATAAAGTGTCCTTCATTCTCGAAAAAGTTGTTTCCGTATCGGTGCACAGTTTCTCGTTGAAGCCCACCACTAACCCCAGTTGCAGCCTGCTTCACGCTGAGGTTCAGTGTGTGTTTGAAATGCTCCGTCATCATAACTGCGAGCATCTGTCGCTGGTTGCGCTCAAGTGATACCATCCAATAGTCCAATATATCTTGTGGTGAGAATTCAAGGGGTCCTTGGGAACTGGTTCCTCTTCTGATCGATAACCAAAAATCGGTGTCTGTCGGTGCATCGTCTTCAGAGCTAAAGCACATTTTGGCAACTTTAGCTATACCACCACATGTCCAGTGCAAACTCAAATTTTTGGAGCTTGCGGCCATCCTGCTTGCAGCACCTTCCATTGTATCGAATACAGACTCAACCCTGGTGTGCGAAACAACTTGCTTTGTGGAGTCTTGTTAGGCTAAGGTTAAAACACAGCTTGGCAGCAGCTAACATTTAATTTTACACAGACTGCTATGCATATTATATAGCAATACACGACTATTATATAACAACAGTAGAAAGGCCAGGTGGCCGAATAACTGGAAAATAATAAATAGATTAACGACATTAAGGAGGTATGACAAGCATAAGCGTAAATAGAGAAAAAAATTTTTCTCTAGAGCACCACAAATTTACCTTATAATAAATAGACGAGTTTCTTTTGTTTGATCAAGAATTGTCAACGCTTGCTGATAAGGGAAATGTATCCAACTGTTTTCGAAAGACATCCCAGTATAATATACACAAACTCTGCCCAATCACAGAAATAATTCTGAATCAGTTTAGAAGGGTCAACTTTCTTGTGTCAACCTACCTTGTGTGCTGATAAGGAATTAACTTTGTGGTTTCAAAACTGGCGTAGGAGCAACAATCTCAGAATCAGGAACCTCTTTTTTTGTATGAATCATTCACGTTGAACAACAAACCCTGCCGCCTATAATGCACACACATTCTGTGTACACTAATAGAAGCATCCAAAGTTACATAAAGAAGTAAAAAGGTTGTGTTACCTAACCAGCTACTTGGAAAATTGTATTAACCATAATATACTTGAGTTGCTGGGGAAAATGCGGAAACTATGCATGAACATTTCCGTGTTTATAATTAGAACGTTTTTAGACCCTATCCCCTGGTTTAGGCCCTGGACTCGGCCTATATCCACTAAGAGAATGTGAATGGGTCGCATGTGGCTACTCTGGCATAGCTATCAATGCAATGTGAAACAAATGTCATGGGCAATGCTCCATCTGTAATTGTTCTGGCCTCTTTTGTACTGAGGCAGAAGCAATCACTGTGTAGGTTTGTTCGACAGTGTGTTCAAATTTTAAGGGTTGATGCCGTAGATATGGGATTTGTGTGTATGTTATGGTGTCTACCAACTAGCAGGTACATTTTGTTTGGCTGTTCTACCCTGTACAAGATCAACATCTATCTTTCCTCATGTGTAGCTACCTGTTTATATGCTTGTGTATATTCTGTTAGCTTCATCCCCAAGCTTTCCCCCCTTGTTGTCGCAATGACCTTTCAGCTGTGGAAAATAAGAAAGGGGAGAGCCTGGTCCTGGAAATTGTGTAATCCTGGGCTGGATGCAATTAGAATGAGTTGCACTTGCACACGTATGCAGTTCTCCAAGAGCTTTAAACTGCCCGAAGACCAGGCTCTCGCGATACTTAAATTTGCAAAGGTCAAAGGTCATTTGATGAAATAGCGCTTGTTGCAAAAAAGCAAAGACGCTCTTTGCGGGAGAGCCTAGGAATGAGGGTATTTTTTTCTGCCATATTATATAGTATGTGGGTGGTCTCTTTATATAGCCAACCCCCACTTCTTGCTTGTGCAGTGTGCTGCACCTCATTCATTATGTGTTTACTCATCCCTAACGTTCATGCATTCCAGGGGCTGTGGCAACATGAATATAATAAACCTTTACACATTCCTACTATACCTTCAGTGTAGGTACTGCATAATATCTTTCCCACGTACTGTAAACTGTGCTTTTGTTGGCCTTCCAGAGACTGTGGCAACATCAACATGTAGCTAGTCCACCTTCACTCTTGGGTACACACGTCCACCTACCTCCACATTACTACCTACGTACGATAACTGTGATGGTGTGTTGTTTGTTGGCCTCCCTGCAGATGGTCTCCTGGGTCTGGGTGTCCTGGGAGGAGCTCTACTGGTGGGAGGAGTAGTGACTGCTGGAGCTGTGGCCTTCGTTGGCATGGGCATTGCTAAACTTAAAAAATGAGACCATTCGTTTCGTTTCGATTTTCCATGTTGTATTCATGTGTACATCAACATTGTGAGTGTCATGGCATTTTAACCCTTACGTACATGTGTGTCCTCGTTTTGGTTGTATGTCGCTACTTGGTCAGCATGCATTAGACTGTGAACAGTAGAGAAAATAACATACAGCAGCAGGCAGGCTAACATTTCAAATTTTGTGTTGTTTGTTAAAGCAAAGCAGTGCCCTGCTCTAACCTTTTTATGTGCCACTGTTTGAAAGGTTCATTACCTGATCCTGTTTTAACCAAGGGCCAGGCAAATGTACATACAAAAAAACATTGGTGAGTGTTTACAGCATTTTGAAAAGAGTGGGGGTTCCTTCTTTTTGATGAGAAACATACATTTGGTATTAGTTAAAGCACCGTACGAGTGTACTGCGGGTATTATTGGACGCTGTTTGCGGTCGAGAGACGATAACGCACGAGGTGATGCTGAGTGCGTTATCGATTCTTGAAATTGCAAACCGAGCCTTAATGTACGAGCGTTAACCGGTTTTTAGCACAAGCTTCCGCGCATTCACGGGCCAGTGAAGACTACCACCCATGGAGTAGCTCCAAGTAAGTTTGGTATCTGCTGGGACAGTTGGCCAGCCTGTGCACAACCGTTCAATAAATTAAACTGTTCAAAGTTTCCCAAATGTTCATAGTATGGCATTTATTGCACTGTTAGCGCCTCAAGAATCGGCTACAAGTACAGCTATCAGTCTTTTCACAGCATACTAAACACTTCACACACACTCAGTCTAGACATGTTTCACTTATTTCGTTTGTGGTGTTTATCTACGAACAGTGCCATACGCAGCATTAGGAGCCACTGCAATCTCCTTCTCTTGTCCAGTGATAGGCCTCAGCTCCACATGTTCATACATGTTGTCTCCACCATCAGTGACTGAGGAAGATGGTGGTTGTACAAGTTGGGTGTTCTCATACAGTGGAGCAGTTGTCACAGCGGCTGGTTGTTGTTGGTCTGTGGTACATTCTGAATCTGTGCAAACTGTTAGCATGTTTGTAAAATTAAAACACAAATATAGCTAATGTCAGCATCTGTGATAGGCTCGGAGAAAACATCTCACATATGCAGGTAGACTCTGCATTCAAGTGGCTTACCGTTGTTCTTTCTCCAAGTTTTTGATCTTCTCTTAAGGAAAAGGATAGAGGCAAGTAAAACTGCTATAATCAAGCCCATCGATGTTAGACAAAGGACAGCAGAAAGTCCAGCTACTGTTGGAGTCCCTAAAAAACACATCTCCACCTATAATGCTGGTTTGGTAGTAGGGCCTACCATCTTCTTGCTTGGCAGTATTGTCAGTTGCAGAGGCTAATGCTATAGTGACATCAGGTAGCTCTAGTGTATTGTAGCCCTCTGATCCATCCATTAGTATATCTGATACCAGTACATGGTATGATCCTGATTGTTGCACCTTGAAACATTCCTGTAATGCTATGTCATAAGTTGAGTGACGAGGTATCGTGTAGTTGAATGTAATCTGATCACTGAAAAGTGTTATCGCACATCCTTTAGCAGTAGAGCCATTTGTGAAAACACAAAAGGCACATATCCATCCACTCACTGGTTTAACCCTTGAATGAATAAGAGAGGAACCTGCATTATGGGCAATCATAGTTATTCTAGTTGTGTTATAGAGTTATAACGGCCTACTTTCTGTTATCCAAACTGTTATGTTGTTCACTTGAGTGCAAACATGAACACCGTTATGTATCTCATGGACACTGACACTGTACTCCCCTCCTTCTGGAACTGAGAAACATTCCAGCAGTACAAGGTTGTCATCACTGTTGTTGGTTCGGGTGACATTGAAAACGAAAACATGTTTGTTGTTTTCCATTGTGACTGCACAACCATCAGCAGTGGAATCAGCCAAAAATGTACAGGAAAAACACATTACAGTTTTTGAGAGCTCACTCGTAGCTTTGATGGCTGCTTTCATAATGTTTGGGTACGCTGAAAGTGTATCCAAAACGTTATGTTCCACATATAACCATTACTATGTCAACTCTCACCATTTCTGGTAGCATTTCCCTCTCCCACTTCATTCCATGCACTGATCTGGTAGGTGGTGCTGGCACATGGTCTCTCCAGAGTGATGTGTGTTTCAGTGGTGTTTCTCTGTTCTGAGACTCCCTGACTGGTGATATAGACACTGTAGTGGAGTATGGGGACTCCTTCCAGGGTGAATGGAGCACTCCATGACACATTAATGCTATCAACTCCAACTGCTTCAACACTTACATCAGTGGGAGCTTTTAGGATACCTATAAGGTGTATAATAGATTTAGCTACAGATGAAAGGGTATAGCTATACCACAATTCACCTTGTATTCCAAGGGTTGTAGTATTGGTAGTGTTGGAAGTGTTAAAACACTCAGGAAGACGCACAATTCCTGTGATTTGAGCTCCATTATACCTCAGATCTGTCGGAGTTATTGTCAGGCCGACATAACAATCATAATCGCAAAACCCTCCAAATGACAGTCCTCTCTCTGTAATACTCTCACGTCTTCCATGTCTATAGTCACTATAGTTGGCTACAGTGTACACTTCATACTCGCCATTAGGTTTGACAATCTCCCAAAGAATCTCAGTTTCTTGACAGTGATAAAAATATATGTAGAATATATCCATATAGAGAGTTGTTGAACCATTGAGTGAGATATTTAGTGAGAAACCAAAATTCCCTGCATCAAGGTTGCGTTAATACCTCTTAGAAGTCAAGAAGTCTCTACACTTACATGAAAAGTAACGAAAGTCATCACAGTAGCAATCACACAGCCCACCATCAAACAAAATAGCAGCTACAACCAATAAGGGAGCGGTTTTTGTTAACATCTTCACTTTGCTCAAATGCGGGAGCAACTCGGATCAACAGCAGAAACGCGCACTGACGCGGCAACGCCGTGCTTTGCCCCGCTGAAGCGCTGACGCGCATGCGCAGCAGGACTTGTTTGTCAGTCAGTCGGTGTCGACGCTTCACACAGGCTATGAGGCGGGCTATACCCAATATCAACCGGCTTCTGACCTACAAGTGCGTGTAAAGTAAAAAAGCGATTCCTGAAGCTACTGGGCTAGAGTATGCCGTGAATAATCGGATTGGCTTACCCCTTGGCTGATCCGCTTTCTCTGTGCATCATGGAGGCACCGTACGTAACAACGGCGTGTGCCGACTCCCGCCTAGTCTGGTTTAGCTAACCAGTTGTCTCCGTGAGAGAGACCGCGGCTGGGTCAATGGACGCGCCCTGCCCATCTATATCACTAAGTACGGTAGTACTTAGTATATAGGGATGACACAGGTTGTCCTGCATTATGCCCATACATTTGAGATTTTCATGTTTCACTTTCTATTTCAATCAGATCCAACTTTTGACACATCAGACTAATTTGTATTGTCACAAAGAGCATGTATCCAAGAAATGGCTTAAATCGCATAATCAGTACTTGATTTATTCAAAACAGTCACTTTTCAATTTTCTTCTTGTTGTTGTTGTTGTTCAGTTTAGACAAGCGTATCTCAAAAACCGGATAAGATATGAAGATCAAACTTTGCACAAAGATTGGAATCCATGACAGGTCGTGCAAGAACATTTTTATTTTTCCGTAAACAATTTTGTTTACATGTAAATAACAACAAATAGCCCCAGGCAATACATTATTATAGAGACAAATAAAGTGTGCTAACTCGGTAAAGCTAATACCCAGAGTGATAAAACTTTGTACACATATACAACCCATCATTAGTATCAAAATGTAAACATTACAAGTTTGTACACAACAACAAACAGCCTCAGGCAATAAAATGTTTTAAAATGTGTTTGTGCCTATAACTTGCTTATGGTGGGTCCTCTAACAATGAAAGTTGGTAAACTGATGTACCACGATGAGAATTCATTGAAACAGAAATTACAAGTTAGTAAACAACAACAAACAGCCTCAGGCAATTAATACCTGTAAATGATGTTTGTGCCTCTAACTTTCTGATTGTGGGTCCTCTAACAATGAAACTTGGTACACTGATGTACCATGGTGAGAGTCGAAACAGAAATTACAAGTTTGTAAACAACAACAAACAGCCTCAGGCAATAAAATGATGTTTGTGCCTATAAGTTGCATATTGTGGGTCCTCTAACAACGAAACTTGGTACAATGATTTACAACGATGAGACTTCATCGAAACATAAATTACAAGTTAGTAAACAACAACAAACAGCCTCAGGCAATAAATTATGTTTGTGCCTGTAACTTGCTTATTGTGGGTCCTCTAACAATGAAACTTGGCATGCTGATTTGCTATGATAAGAGTTCATTGAAACACAAATTACAAGTTTGTAAACAACAACAAACATCATCAGGCAAATAAGTGCTGTTTTCCTATAACTTTGTACACTTATCTAGTTTGAAAAATGTAGATGACGACTAACAGACCGAGGCAATAAATACATGTTACTTTTTATATGGGCATGCATGTACATGCTGTAAAAAAAGGAAAGGAGACAAGTAAATAAAAAATTCAGCGAATTAAAAAAGTGTGGAATATAGAGATGCCATAAAAAGCAAGGAGACAAGACAGGGATGACCTTGTGTATGTGATGCAGTAGTAGAATGGATGATGGTTACATCTTCAAACTTACATTGCTTGCTCGTGTAAATCTTCCTCCACACAAGCCCTATATTGTCGCAAAGCATGACTGTGCTCCCTCATAGAATGACTCATCTCTTAAGCACGTGATGCACAGGTGTTGCCCTCTCTGACAGCTCCTCAGTTTTTGGTTGTGACTGCATTGTGTGCAGTCTAAGACTTCTTCTATGTTCGCTCAACAAACGATGAGTTTTACAATGCTGTGTTCGTGGCCCGCCAGAGAATCCCTTATTCTTGAGAGAGGGGACTCGACTAAAGAGTGGCGGCTAAATGCAATGTCATTAAAATCTCTTGCTAGCACGAGTGATCTCTATTGTATGATGTGCAGCTATGACTCGTTTCTTATGCACGAGTGGATCAACGTGTCTCAGCTTCACCATTGTCCTCACACTAAACAAATTCATGTTGTGAGAAAAGTGGCGACAATATAGGGCTTGTGTGGAGGAAGATTTACACGAGCAAGCAATGTAAGTTTGAAGATGTAACCATCATCCATTCTACTACTGCATCACATACACTAGGTCATCCCTGTCTTGTCTCCTTGCTTTTTATGGCATCCCTATATTCCACACTTTTTTAATTCGCAGAATTTTTTATTTACTTGTAATATTAGCGGCAGTATAATGATTGAGAAGGGGTGACTCCTCTAGGCGCGAGCGCGATGTTCCATCGCCACTTGATATGGGAGTGAGTGTGTCAGGTCAGGCGCGCGCAGAAAGACGCCGGCCGGCCATCGTGCATGCGCTACATGGCCAGATGCCACGTTGTGGTTTTAGTTGACCGTCTAGGAGGGGTAAGCAGTTAGCACCGAGGAAATTATGCTGGATTACTTCGATTTTGTTCGACCTGGATTCTTCCATTATGCAGAACTTTTATAACGCTTGAATTTCAGAAACAACACAAAACATAATGAAACAGTCACCAATGTCATTTTTGGTTGACGGAATTCTATGTCTCTTGAAAATCTTGCCGCTTTTGGGTCTTTATGACCCTTTTTCTGGCTGACTGAGATTTCTGTTAAGCCTTGAGTCAATCAAGTAACGATGGAGCCGGAGTAGCATAGCAAAAAGTGAAAGACGTATCGTTCTCTACCTCATAAACTGATGAGTTAGTGTCTTCAGTGTTTGAGCTACTAAAGCCAGTCAGTCACCATTATTGAGTATCATACTACCGTGTGCGCCAGCGTACAAAAATTTGTCGTGTGGTAAAAATGGAATATTGAAGCATCCCCAAAAATTCCCCCAGCTCACCCTACAAGCAGTGTTTCTTTTGTCTGTCCTGTTTGTTCATTTTCGATGGTGGAAACAAGCAGAATCTATAATATTCTAATGAGCATAGAAGGCAAATCAGTTGTGCTCCTATGGCTAAAAACCCTGAGAGTTCCAGAGAAATCATTTGTGTAGCACCAGCTGAGGGAGAGAAACCACTCATTATCATGACAGACTCTAATTTTTAAGCCATGTCTAATCCTTATAAGTTCCCATTTGCTAATAGCACATTTAGAAGCGGGGCAGGCCTTAAAAGCTAACCTACAGAAAATCTTTCGATCCGAGAGACCTTGATAATCTGTTTGTTGCCCAGTATATTATTGTGGAAGCCAAGCAAGTGTTGGGTTATCATAATAACTTTGCCGGGAGGAAAAAAGCCATCTAGACAGTTCACTGCAGCACAAGCTCAGACTGTGTTTTGCCAGTATGTGCGGAAAGGCAAAACCTATTCCAAAAGGCTTCGTGGTTCACCGCCATATTACCAGCGTATATTGTATGATTTCTTAGCCATGATACATCAGCAAGGCACACAAACATGATTTTTCACATTGTCAGCAGCAGACCTCAACTGGCCTGATATGCCATTGCTAGACAGTATGGTGTCTATTACGCTAATGATGAGGTTGCAGCATTGTCCTTTGATGAGAAATCCAATTGGCTAAAGCGTAACCCTGCTACTGCAGTGAGGTATTTTCATTACAGACTCAATGTTTATTTTCCAAAACTTTTTTGAAGTCAACTGCCAAACCCCTTGGTGAAATTTCTGAGCATGCCATCAGAACAGAGTGTCTGACCAGAGGTTCACCACATGTACATTGTGGCATATGGGTCAAAGATGCTGCAGAATTTGATGTGTGTGAATTTATTGACCAGTATGTCAGTCTGGTGTAAAGTCCCAGCAGAAGAGGGCAAAATTTAAAGACCTAGTACTCCTGTTTTTACATTCCTCATATTGAAGGAGAAAAAACAGTCAATTCAGATTTCCTAAGCCTCCCAGTTCCAAAACACTCATTACAAAAGATGATTCTGAGCGTGGCAACTATAACCAAGGATTGGCTGTGTTTGGTAAAGTACAAAAGCTGATGGCTGACAGTAACACAGATTTGAGCCTTGCTGAATCAAAGCATGCATTACAAGTGTCTACTCAAGCGTGAGCCTAATGAACGTTTCATAACAACTACGATCTCTCAGCATGGCAAGCTAACATGGGTCAGTTTGTACTAAACGTAGCTATATGCCTGTGTGATGTATGTAGCCCCATCTATCATGCAAAGAGGGAGATCCATGGGTGAACTGTTCAAGCGTGTAGCTGCTGAAAAAAGTTCTGTTCTGCATTTCTAACACACAGAGAAGTTAGTGCACAAGAAACTGTGTATAGAATACTGTCATTGCCAATGAAACGACTGAGCAGATCTGTTGTGTTTAATATACTTACCCTCAAAACGAGGGAATTGCTGTTTTGAAATATTAGCCAACTAGAGGACCAATGTTTTTCAACGAGCCTAGCACAGACCAAGAATTGGCAGTGTAGGGCAGTAGCTTAGTTCCATGTGTCTTGCTGAGTTTGCTGCCACAAATGTTATGCTGTGAACTATGAGCATAATGCCTTACCAGACCATGAGTGATGCCACATCCACACAAATCACACTCACTGGTAAATTTGGCAAAATGAACCAACAAAAGCTATAATTAGATTCAGAAAGTATATATCAGAGCGTCGGTAGACGCTCTATAATTATAGGGATGGCACGAGTGAAATCTCACGTGATCCGCGTACACAACGCCTCACAAACTCAGCAAGAATGACTAAACATGGCTTAAAAATCACTAGCAATAGTCTAGAGGCCAATAACTAGCTAGCCCCAAGACTTCCTACGTACCCTCAGTTCCCTACCAGAGAATTCGCTCTTACGCGATATCGCGATTATCGTGTCATCATAATCTTCATCTTC